TGACTGAGCTTCTCAGCCTTTCTCTAAGGGAGAGCCCAGACACCCTGCAGAGGAAACTCATTTCAGCTGCTTGGATCTGTGATCTCCTTCTTTCAGTCACTACCCAAAGCTCCTGACCATAGATGAGGGTAGGAACGTAGACCGACTGGTAAACTGAGAGCTTTGCCTTCTGGCTCAGCTCTCTCTTCACCATGACTGGTACAACACCCACATCACTGCAGATGCAGCACCAATCCACCTGTTGATCTCCTGCTCCAKTCTTCCCTCATTCATGAACAAGACCCTGAGATWCTTAAACTCCTCCACTTGGGGCAGAACCTCCTCCCCGACCCGGAGAAGGCACTCTACCATTTTACTTCAATAGGACCACATCATCCACAAAAAGCAGAGATGTGATCCTAAGGTCACCAAAAAGGATCCCCTCAACACCTTGGCTTCTCCTAGAAATTCTGTCCATAAAAGTTATGAACAGAATCAGTGACAAAGGGCAACATTGGTGGAGTCCAACTCTCATCAGAAACAAGTCAGATTTACTACCGGCAATGCGGACCAAGCTCTGGCACCGGTCATACAGGGACCTAACAGCCCATATAAACGGGCCTGGTACCCCATACTCCCGAAGTACCCCACACAGGAGTCCCCGAGGGACAYGGTTGAACACATTCTCCAAGTCCACAAATCACATGTAGACTGGTTGAGTGAACTCTCATGAACCCTCCAGGACCCTACTGAGGGTGTAGAGCCGGGCTAGTGTTCCACGACCAGGACCAAAACCAGACTGGTCTTCCTGAATCCGATTCAACTTTCTGATAGTCCCTCCTCTCCAGGAACCCTGAACAGACCTTACCAGGGAGGCTCAGAAGTGTGATACCCCTATAGTTGTAACACACTCTGTGGTCCCCCTTTTCAAAAACGGGGAACACCACCCTGGTCTGCCATTCCAGGGCAACTGCCCCCGATGTCCACACAATGTTATAGAGTCATGTCAACCAACACAACCCCACAACATCCAGAGCCAAAAGGAACTCTGAGTGAATCTCTTCCACCCCCCGGTGTCCTGCCACCAAGGAGCTTTTTAACCACCTCAGTGACCTCAGCACCAGAGATTGGACCCAGGGTCCCCAGGCTCTGCTTCCCCAAGGGAAGATATGTTGGTGGGATTGAGGAGGTCTTTGAATTATTCCCCCCTCGACCCACAATGTCTTGAGTTGAGGTCAGCAGCGCACCATCCCCACAATAAACAGTGTTGATGGTGAACCACTTTCCCCCCTTGAAATGCTGGATAGTGGACCAGAATTGCCTCTAAGACGTATGGAAGTCTTTYTCCATGGCCTCTCTGAAATCCTCCCATGCCTGAGTTTTTACCTCAGCGACCACCTGAGCCACAATCCACTTGGAGTGCCGATACCCATTCGCTGATTCTAGAGTCCCGCAGGCCAAAAAGACGCGACTGGACTCCGTCAGCCTGACTGCATCCCTCACCAGAGTCCACCAGGGGGCTTAAGGGTTACTGCCACGACAGGCACCTACAACCTAACTACCACAGCTCTGGTAAGCCACATCAACAATGGAGGCACAGAGCATGGCCCACTCGGACTTCTCCAGGAGGTGTGAGTTGAAGCTTTGTCTGACAGGAGATTCTGACAGACGTTCCCAGCTGACACTCACTATATGTTTGGGTCTTCCAGGTCTGACGCGCATCCTCCCCCACCATCGGAGCAGCTCACCACCAGGTAGTGGTCAGTGAACAGTTCAACCCCTCTCTTCACCCAAGTGTCCAAAACATGCAGCCGCAGATCAGATGAGATGACAACAAATTTGATCATCGAACCGTGGCCTAGGGTATCCTGGTGCCAAGAGCACATATGGACACCCTTATGCTTGAACATGRTGTTGGTTGTGGACAATATATGACAAGCACAGAAGTCCAATAACAAAACACCGCTAGGTTTCAGATTGGGGGGGCCATTCCTCCCAACCACACACCTCAAGGTCTCATTGTCATTACCCATGTGAGCATTGAAGTCCCCCAGCAGGACAAGGTAGTCTTCATTAGGAGATCTCTCCAGCACCCCATCCAAGGACTCCAGAAAGGGTGGCAAATCTGTTGTTAGGCACATAGACACCAACAACAATCAGGACCCGTCCCCCCACATGTAGGCGGAGGGAGGCTACCCTCTCATTCACTGGGGTGAACCCCAACATACAGGAACCAAGATGGGGGGCAATACGTATACCCACTCCTGCTCGTCACCTCTCAGCATGGGCAAATCCAGAGTGGAAGAGTGTCCAACCCCTCTGGAGGAGACTGGTTCCAGAGCCAGAGCGGTGCATCGAGGTGAGTCCAACTATATCTAGTCTGAACCTCTCAACCTCACACACCAGCTCAGGCTCCTTCCCCACCAGAGAGGTGACTTTCCACGTCCCTAGAGCCAGCTTCTGTAGCCGAGGATCAGACCGCCAAGATCCTCGCCCTCGACCACTGCTCAACACACAAGGCACCTGACCCCACCACCATAGTTGGTGAGCCAATGGGAAGTGGGTTTAACTTTGGCTTTTTTCTCATTTCTAAATTCATTGGCTGTGTCTCAATTCACGGGCTGCATTCTCATAAGTTTATAGCCCACCTGGACCACATGGGCCTCTCAACAGCAGCCTTGTGTCTGCATGCACTGAAGTCTCCCTCCCTTCCAAAATCTTTCATGAATCCAAACAATAATAGAACGTCCTGGTCACACCCTGGGCAATACCTTATACATCAGAAATAGGCATGTCAACAAATTACTTTTCCATATTGTCACCATATTGTCATCATACGCTCTGTGTGGATCGACACCATATGCCCATCTGGCACAATGCTTGTGTCAGATGAACAAGATATTGCATCATTTCAATCACAGACTTGTGAATAGAATTGAATCGAAATTGTATCGTGACAGACTTTCTAACATTGAAAAACACTGTATTGGCATACAAACAAATCAGTGTAAATTCATAGTGAGACAAAGCTGAAGATTTACACCATGATCAATGAGGTGTAATTGTTTTGTACCTGAAAAGCCCAAACCATGTTTCCACTTCCACAGTGTTTGACTGTAGGGATGGTGTCTATCAGTTCAAACTCCTTGGTTGGTTTGATGTCATTGTTTAGGTATTCCTTCATTGGTTGGCATAACGTGTGGCCATTGTTTCAGTACACTGGGATTGGTCTGTTTGATGTGTGGGCATTGGGCCTTTAATGTGACAGTCACATGTTTGTGTGGCAGGAACAGTTTAAAAGCAGCACAGACACATCCAGTATTCATTTAACAAGATACTCTCTGAGTTTAGAGATGCACTATTAGGACTCAAATGTACACCTGATTATACTGACTGAATCTGAAAGTGATGGGTTTGAGCTGTTAGTCTCAGATTATCTCAGATTATTATGTTTTGAATTACTGTAATCTGACTTGTTGCTGATTGGGCTGATGAATCAGCTGAACTTTGATATTTGCTTTTATTAGGTGAACAAACCTGTAAGAAAAGTAACATGAACTCAACAGAGATTTCATATTTCATTCTTGGTGCTTACTTTGACACTAAACAGTTCAAATACCTGTTATTTTTAATCATTATGTTTTGGTATATTTTAATTGTTGGTTGTAATGTTGTTCTGATTGTGGTTATCTGCATTAACAGGAGTTTACATGAACCTATGTACATGTTTCTGTGCAGCCTGTTTGTAAATGAACTGTATGGTAGTACAGGCTTGTTTCCATTCCTGCTGATCCAGATTCTGTCAGACGTTCACACTGTTTCTGCTCCGCTCTGTTTCCTGCAGGTTTACAGTCTTCATTCATATGTGGCTGCGGAATTTTACAACTTAACCATCTTATCTTATGACAGATATCTGGCCATTTGTTTCCCACTGCAGTACAACTCAGTAATGACAATGAAGAAGGTTGGTGCTCTGGTTGCAGCAGCATGGATAGCTGCATTTCTTGTAGTTGTAATCACAGTATCATTGAGTTGGACTCTGCAGTTGTGTGACAACATCATACACAAAGTTTACTGTGACAACTACTCCATTGTTAAACTGGCCTGCTCTGATATCACATTTAACAATATATATGGCCTGCTAACTGCTGCTTTTTCTGTTTATGTTCCGTTTACTTTAATTTTTTACACATATATGAAAATCTTTAAAGTCTGTTTCTCTGGATCCAAACAGACTCGACAGAAAGCTGTCAGTACCTGCACGCCTCACCTGGCCTCTCTCRTCAACTTCTTATCTGGAGTTTGGTTTGAAGTTTTACAGAGTAGACTTAACATGAACAGTGTTCCTAATGTTGTAAGAATTGTTTTATCATTGTATTTTCTGAYATGTCCACCACTKTTTAACCCTTTAATATATGGCCTGAAGTTGTCAAAAATACGTAACTTGTGGAAAAGTTTATTATATATTAGATGGGGATAGAAGTGTCTTTCAGGGGGTAGATAATAGACAGGCAAGGCAACTCAAAGTGCATTACACAAAAAGAATCATTCTTTATGAAATGCAAAAGTGGGAAAAAAAGAAAACAGTAAAAGCTTTATAGAAAAACAAAAATGTAAAATTAAAAACGATCACGGAATGAAAATATTAACAAAACATAAACGCAAATTCTGATAAAGATATAAATACAACGGCATTGAATCCTTTTCCTTTTATCAATCAAAGGCAGCAGAGCAAAGGATGGTCTTCAGCTTAGTTTTAAAAGAACACACAGTTGGAACTGTATGGCTGTTTTCTGGGAGTTTGTTCTACATACAGTATTTGGTGCATAAAAACTGAATACAGTTTGAATGCATGTTTGGTTCTAACTCAAGGGACAAAGAGCAGATTTCATCTAAATGACCTCAGTGGTCTGGACTGTTCACAATGCAGTCAAAGAAGTATTTTGGGCCTAGACAATTCAGTGCTTTCTAAACTGGCAATATGATTTTAAATGCAATTTTCTGATCAACAGGGAACAGGTGCAAAGTCCTCAAAACTGGACTGATGTGATCTAATTTCTTGATCTTTGTTAAGACCCCAGCAGCAGCGTTCTTGATCAGTTGTAGTGATCTGATTGAGTTTTTAGAAAGAGCCAATAAATACTCCACTGCAATAGTCAAGTTGACTGAAAGTACACCCTAAAAACAGAGTTGGATTTACTTAACCATGTGTCAACTGGTTCCACTTAACTGAGTTGAGTAAATTCAAAGCAACATACTCATGTTCTTTGGTTACAAATTGGGTATACTGCTTTGGATTTACTCAGCTCAGTTAAGTGGAACCAGTTGACATAACATGGTTAAGTAAACCCAACATTTCKTTTCTTAGAGTGTACATGCATAGACGTGTTTCTGTATGTCCTGTTGAGTCATCAGTCCTTTAATTCTGGCTATTTACTACAAGGTTGGACCAGAGCGGAATGGAACCATATCCAACGTAAAGTAGGGGTAAGATCTGAGCTACAGGCATCATGTACGTAGATGTTAAAGAGAAGAGGACCCATAATGGAGCCTTGGAGAACTCCACATGTAACTTTGGGGCGGCTGTGGCAGAGTGGTCCTGTAACTGTTGGGTTGCCAGTTCAGTCCCCCATTCCAGCTGTCATTGTGTCCTTGGGCAAGACACTTCTCTCAACTTGCCTACTTATGGTTAGGTGTTACAGCTGGCTATCTGTGATTGGTTGTAAGCATGTCACATGATGTTATATCGGCTGTTTCCGCTGAGGGGGGCCAGTCACAACACGACAGACTTCCTGACTGACCGTCTGCTGTGTTGTTGCTCAGAATTAAATCACTTGACCACCATACACGCAGACTTTCTGTGCATTTATTCCAACGTTTTTCTGCATTCTTGGTAAATCGTGCCACAACACACATAAACATTTAATTTAGCTATTTTATTTTTGTATTTTTTATCCCAAAAAATAGTGGACGGGCAGCGCCCTAGCACCCTCTATTGACCNTAGGGGTAAGATCTGAGCTACAAGCATCATGTAGATGTTAAAGAGAAGAGGACCCATAATGGAGCCTTGGAGAACTCCACATGTAACTTTGGGGCAGCTGTGGCAGAGTGGTCCTGTAACTGTTGGGTTGCCAGATCAGTCCCCCATTCCAGCTGTCATTGTGTCCTTGGGCAAGACATTTCTCTCAACTTGCCTACTTATGGTAAGTGGTAAATGGGCTGAACTTATGTAGTGCTTTATCAAGACCCATTAGACCCCAAAGTGATTTACACTACATTCACTCATTCACACACATTTACACACTGATGGTAAGCTACATGGCAGTCAGATGACCCAAGGGCACCAGTGCATGGTAGCCCTGCCTCTGTCAGTGTGCCCCAGGGCAGCTGTGGCTACAATGTAGCTTACCATCATCAGTGTGTGAATGYGTGTGTGTGACTGTAAGTGTAAAAGGCTGTCGAGTATGATGGGACTTGATAAACCACTATTTAGTTTACCATTTGTTCAGCTCAGATTTGTAGTGACTGACACAAACAAGCTCCTGTCTTCCAGGTATGATTTGAGCCTGTTTAGTGCTGTACTAGAACTGCCAATCCAATATTTCAAAGCTGGGCAACAAAGTAAGATGAGTTGAGAACCTGAAGAGCAAAGCTTTGATCTTCTGCAATAAATTTGAAAGACGTATTATGTCCACTTCGAATCCTGCTCTTGGGATTGAGACAAACCCCAATGACTAAGCCAAGTACTGTAAATGAGTCTGGTAGTCAGTGAAAAAGTTGAAATCTGTAGAATCATGGGTGGAGTCAGCTATCTAGGTTTTGCAGCTGGTGGAAAAAACTTAGCTGAACCAGGTAGATTGGCCTGGTAGATAGACAGTGGGGAAAAAAATCCTCAGCTTGAACTTTTTTCCATACCCAGGAGGTGGGCATGAGGATGGGGGGATTTTTGTATGTGACACACTTTGTGGCTCAACAAAGGCATATCTGACTCAGCTATTGAGCTAACTGGCTACACAACACAGCGTGGCAACAGAACAATGGACTCTGGTAAGAGCAGAGGACAGGGTGTTTGTGTTTCTATCAATAATAACTGGTGCAAGAATATTGCAACTGTAGACAGCTACTGCTCCCCTGATCTAGAATACATAACTGTGAAATGTAGACCACATCCGAGCTTTGATTGATTGATTGATTGATTGATTGATTGATTGATTGATTGATTGATTGATTGATTGATTGATTGATTGATTGATTGATTGATTGATTGATNTTGATTGATTGATTGATTGATTGATTGATTGATTGATTGATTGATTGATTGATTGATTGATTGATTGATTGATTGATTGATTGATTGATTGATTGATGATGACTTTATTGTCATTGTACGGATCACAATGAAATTACAGTTAACACCCATTCAAGAAAACACACACGACAAAAACATCATATCATTAGGGAGGCTTCCTTAAATTTTGAATCGGACATTTGTCACTCACAAAATCCTCATTGTTATGTGTGCCAAATGTCCTGTTTTCCCTTTTATAGAAATTGGACATTTGGCACTGTCATGGAAATCTTTATTTTATCTAGGTAGAAACATGAGATCCAAGAATAAAAAAGTACTCCGTGAAATGGTCAACAAGGTTTATTGCAATTGCAAGGCACACATCATGTCACACAGGGCACTGGCACAAAATGTGTGTACCGAGGCAGTTTCAAATACACTCATTTATACAGCATGTTATCCAAGCAGACAAACTGGACCAAGGAGAGAATGTTTGATAAACAGCAACAAGAATGATTACTTTTAACAGATATTGTCCTGATCCTAAAACTCTTTGTCCGAGGGAAAACAGAAGATAGAGTAAAATTATAAAACATAATGACATTTTAAAGTAAGCAAAAGAGGTCATTGACACTTGGCCTGAGAAGAAGTGTAGGACTTTAAAGGATAATTTATTTTTCCAAGACAGGCACACAATACAAATAGGAAACCTGTATGCGCTAAATATCCCATTCAAAAGTTATGGAAGCCTCCCTTAATTTTGAATGGGACATTTACCACATGCACATGCATTTTGGAAGGTAACTTCCCCAGGGACATTTGGGAAAAACAGTGCTCCGCATGGTGGCCGTTTGGCGGTACTGGGACATTTGGGAACAGTTTCCCAAATTTTCTTCTGGGCTAACTGTGGGGGCCACAGAAAAGGGATCAGAGCCTATGCGAAGTCCCTGGCCCGGAGAATGCCCCTGCACTGGTCCCTGATTTTTAGGAGCATTGGTTCAGCCGTGGCTGAATTTTGAATTTAAGACATTTGGTGCAATAACCTTTTCATGGACCGTGTGCCAAATGTTCAGCTTGGCCCTAAGGGAGAATGACAGATTTTTTTTATTTCCATTTTGGATGAGAAAGGCTGTGGGACAAAGACTCTAATGAATTATAACTAATATTTGAGTTAGCATTAATTAATAAATCTATTGCATATTTTAAGTTGTGTTCACATTATATAACAATATTTGTTTTACTTTTGTAGGGGTTTTGGGTATATTCAAAAATGGATAATTTGTGAATTATTTAAAAGAGCAAATTATCTGACCTCGAGGCACCAGGTTCTTAATTCGATCAAGGATTGACCCAGGAAAGAGATGAAAACCTGTAACTTTATTGTAATCAGTCTCACAATAAATGTACCCAAAATCGTTTGATGAGTTCTTTGTCTTATCAGAACCATTAATACTTGATCAAGACACAAAAGTGACATTAGCTTATGTTGGCAGGTTCTCCACAGGCCATTTATTTACAGATTAAATGTATTTACAGCTATGGTGAGTAATGAGTGATGACATGTTGAACCAGGTAAAACTGACAAAGTTTGAAATCACAAGTGAATAAACAAACAAGCAGACAAACAAATAAAATAAACACTGAGAGGTGAGTTTGAGGTTTGGAGTGAGGGGAGGTGAGTTTTGCTTTTAGCTGAGGATTTAACTAAGGGCGTCCTAGTTAAATTAGGGAGAAAAATCATTTAGTTTATCAAATCTCATACAAAGATAAGAATCAAATTACGTCTGAGCACCTGTTTGTCACCAGGACAAATGTTCACTTTTACCCTTTTGTTTCCACCGTGTGGGTACCAGGAGGGAAGTCAGCGAATGAAGGTCATCTCTGGGGGTCGTTCCCCAGGTAGACTCTTCATGCAAGCTGGATGTCAGGCGGTCTGCCTGCAAAACTCGACTGGGCCCGTGGTCAGAGAAGGGGGTCACTCCCTGGTGACAACATGGTCCGTTCTTCTTTAGGCGGCTGCAAGACTTCTTAATATGATTTCAACTTTGTAGAGAAAACGAACTAAAAACGACAGGAGTCACAATTAGCTTATTTAACTTCTATAAAATCAAACTCAGATGTTGAGTCGATATTAAATGTTGGCTTTTCGTTAAACCAGCGGGAGATGCAGAAGACCACCATCCTGCCCAGCCCATGGGGAGGGGCTGGCAGGCAGGGCCTCTGCTGAGCTTCTGGAAAACTGTTTCTGGCTTCTGATGTTGAAAAGATCTCTTTCTCTGTCTTCTTAGAGATTGGGAGTGCACTAAGCTTTTTAAAACCTCTGTTATGGGCGGAGTCAAGGTTTTAGTTGACCAATAAAAATGTTTCACCTTATACAGGAAAAGTTTTTTAACAAATCAAATCTGTTTTGGAGGGAAATTTTACTTTGAAAACAAAACAAGGAGGATTTTAGTTTGACCATCTCACATCTAATTAAAGGGAGAGACATCTGCTTGCCTCAGTAAAATAAGAGTGTCACACTTTTAATTTAAGATTCAAGTCCTAAAGTTTCTAAGGATTAAATCATGGAATAAAAAACACAACTTCTTCAGGAAAACATTTCATCAAAACAATTAGCACCACACAGTTATTGAATAATTGACTATCTTTTATGGTCTTTTTGTTCTTTTTTGTAAGAAAAATGGATTAGATGACGTTCTTTGCAGTAAGACAGAAAACATTAGATACACAGATTCCTTTATCTTTTCTCCTTTTTATCACATTTAATGAAGAATGTAGATTCCTTTGTTCTCAGTCACGCCGAAGAGTCTGGTTAAAGGCATTTATGATCCCTTTGAAGAGGAACCAACAGTCTTGTGCTTATAGGGGGGATGGAAGCAACAGAACTTGTGGGGTTCGGAACAGGAATGTGGCAATTCTTACCTATTAACGGTAGGGCATCAGGACGTCTGGTGGGGGTTTGTGTGAGAGATGTTAATTCAAGCCACAAAGGAAGTTCCATGCAAAAATCTTAAGAAGTAGTCTGAAGTCAAAGTGGGGTTTTCTTCCTTTCTGAGCTGTTGTCATAGGAACAAGTGAAATCTAATCAGAAATGATGATTTATATGCAGGAAAATGCTACACTTTATTAGTATAATCACAGACAAAAATATGTCCATATCATTAAGCACAATTTATTAAAGCACTTTTACGATCAACAAGCATTACAAAGGACATTTAGTTTGTCTATTACCTGTTTTCATTCATGCTGGTACAGATCCTGTTGCTTGAAAAAGAAAGCAGTGAAAGCAAAACAAAGCATTAGCCTCGCTAAAAGCAGTTCGCTTTGCCATGTTGTTGCTAATCCAGGTCCAGGAAATTGACAGAGTGTAACCTCTCTGTCTGTCTTAACTCTGCTGCTTTTCATGTCTGTCTGATGGGTCCATGCTATTTTACTTTACACTTCTCCTGTTGTGTTCTTTTCAAAGGTTTTGTTTTAGGAGACTCGGCTGAGTTGTTTAGCTCCACCATTTCTTAACTGGTTAGTTTTGGGAGCTGCACTGCTGTACTGTAAATGACGTTGACCCACTAACTGCATGCAAATCATGTTCTGGGCAGTTGACCAGAGACTCCCTCTTCTTTTGCATTGAGGACCTACTGCGCATGCCCAGGTGTTAACATGAGTCTTCACTAGTAAAGATTTCTGCGCCCTGGAGTAAACCGGAAGTGATTCAACACGACAACGCTAATGAGTGAAATGAAAATTTATTCATCCATAACTATAAGATATTTATAATGCACATTGTTATGGATTAATTATGTATATCTGTTCTACCTTGACACTGTCCAGTAATCATATCTCATGTTAACTAGTTTCGGCTGTTTTACTCTATCGGCCCAGACTTCAAGACTCCAGCAATGCATGACCTCT